GTGTGGGAAGTTCTTAAGATAAGGGAATTCTAAGTGCAATTAGTTTATTCCAGATAACCGAGGAAGCAGTATTAGGGCATTTATCCTTAAACTAGAAGTTACACATTATCAGTAATAGATCCAAGTTCAGTTGTCAAAACCTCTGAATTTCAAACATATAGAGGATAATCTCCAAATTTTTTTTATTCATCCTTATCAGTAAATGATGTTTGAGCATATATTTATTTATTCATAAATTATATATATAGTGTACATATATTACTACATTAGTATGTTATTTTCATTATAAAACACACAAAATTAGAATTACAAAGGAAATCATTAAAAAAAAGACATTTTAATATTTTCTGTACCCTTTTATCAGCCAAGATGGGCTGGTTTATGTGTGCGAATAATCCTTAAATTTCAGTGGATGGAAACCCCACCAGTTTATTTCTCTCGAGTTACATGTTTGTTATGGTTTGGCTTTAACACTCCTTGCGCTGCTCTTACTCTGGCACCTGACTGATGAAGTAGCCACTTTTGGAAGTTTGCTTGTCACAGGAACAGAGGGGAGATAATGGGGAATTAGCACTTAAAGCCTCTGCCTAGAGGTGGCACGTCACTTCTGCTCACAGTTTATGAGCCAAACAACTTACATGTCCTCACCTAATTGCAGTGAAGAAAAATCCTAACCTCATCCCCAGGAGGAGAGCTGGAATATTTTAGGCAGCAGCAAAAACTTTCCCCTCTGAAATGACTGATTTCAGAGAATAGGGCCTGGATTAGTATTTGTCTAAGAAAATAAACACACAAAGATAAGTCCTTTTAGTTTTTCCATTCCACATTGTTTTTAAAATCCTGAAGTCCTGAGAAATGAGTCTTACCACAACTACAGGATAGTGGTGTCCTTGCTAAAAACTCCTTAATAGCTTCACTTTGCACTCATGTAACCCAGACACCTAACGTGGCCTATGATCCCTCGATCCCTACCTTCCAAGCCTCCTCTCGGGGCACTCACACCAGACCTCAACCCTACTGACCTTCCAGTTCCCCGAAGGAGACATGTGTTTCCTACTTCTGTCTTGAGTGCTTTCCTACTTTTCTCCTTGTTTTTACCTGCTTATTCTTTTACTTTTAGGTCAAATATTTCCTCAAGAAAGTCTTCTGTGCCTCCCAGAGTAGGCAGAGTCTTCTCTTTTCTACACTCATATATACTCTGTTGCTTTGCTTCCAGAGAAGCTATTCCAAGTTTTCGTTTCTTTGTGTGTGTGTTTTAATGCTCACTGGAGGATATGTTTTTATTATTATTGTTGTTGTTATTACTATTATTATTATTTTAGAAAGAGGAAGGGAGAGAGAGAAAGAGAAGGGCCATTGTGAGAGAGAATCATTGATTGGTTGCCTCCTGTACATGACCTTACTGGGGATCAAACCTGCAACCTAGGTATGTGCCCTGACTGGGAATCAAACCCTCAACCTTTTTGGTGTACAGGATGACACTCCAACTAACTGAGCCACCCAGCCAGGGATGTTCTAGTTTTTAAAGTAGATTTTTTTACACTATTATTTGTTCAGTCTTTTTCCAATCAGTGTGTGAGCTCCAAGGGGGCAAGGATGAAGTCTGTTTTGCTCACCACTGTATGCTGCTGCTTCCATGTAGCCAAGTCACTAGTGTATAATAGGAACCCATTAAATATCGAGTTTGGTTATAGTCTTATGTTTGCAACATTTATGCAGTCTCTATAGAGAATGTGTCTTAGACATTTATGCAGTCCATAGAGAACAATTTGATACTAAGATGTTAATCACACAAACTGCAGTACACTTGCTTCATGCCTCTGTGTTTTGGGAAGTCTGAGAATCCAGAGTAGGAATGTTTTTCCCATTCTCTCTGGATTAGAATAGCCCTTCCCTAGATTTTCACGTTATATTTAACTGTTTTTCCTTTTGCCATTTCTGGAGTGATATTTTAATGTTTTTAACTTGGAAGCCCTACAGTCAGGGGATATATCACATTTAACATAAATGGCAATAAAACTGCCCAAGCAATGAGTGTATTATATAGACATAGTGAATAAACAAATAATTTGTGTGATATTAAGGTTTGTTTTGTTTTAGCTTCTGGAGGTGATACTGAATTACCAAAACACAATGTGATTTATTTTTGTGATACTTTGCATCAGCAAAAGGACATGTATTAGATGCTTGGAAAATACTTACCTACATATTTATGTCCCTCACTAATCTTTTCTGTTTCTCTCTTCAGAAAGAATAACAATTTGATCATTTTCTTGTCTGTATGTTTCATTGTGGCCTATAGCGCTATTCTTCATTTAAAATGCAAACGTTCTAGTAGAGATATCTTCTATAATGATAATCTTTTTTTTTTTTTTTTTTTTAAAACATATCTTTATTGGTTTCAGAAAGAGGAAAGGAAGGGGGGAGAGAGAGATAGAAACATCAGTGATGAGAGAGTCATTGATCGGCTGCCTAGCTCACAACCCGGGCATGTGCCCTGACCAGGAATCGAACCCCAATCTCCTGGATCCTAGGTCGATGCTCAACCGCTGAGCCACACCCAGCCAGGCTATGATGATAATCTTATTGGTGGAATTCATAGGGTGCTACAGACATTGTTACCTGTGAGCCTCTCATAGTTGTGTTCCCCATTTTTATTCTAGAAGAGAACCACTATTTCCCATCAATAAGAAGTAGGGTTAAAAGGCACATGAGTACGGATTATATTTGCAGATCCTGTCTATTCAAGAAATGTTTATGAAGTAATCTATTTTGTGCCAGAAGCTAGGGAAACTCAGAAAGAGATGGACACTTTCTATAAGGCGTTAGATTTTTGTTTCAAATGATAAAGTTCTGATAGGAACTGAGTTTCGGGGAGATCAAAGATGGCAACACTTAGTGGAAGCTACACTGACATTCTCCAGGGGCCAAACTGGAATTACAACTAAAATATAGAAAAACCGCCCTGAATAACCAACTGCAACTGAAGACAAGCTGGAGAGCACCCTCATAACCAAGGAGGAAAAGTGGAGACTGCGTAGAGACTGGGAGGGAGTGTGGAGGTGCCACAGGGCTGGCTGGGCTCCCACAGGCAGCAGCTGAAGGTCCAGAGGGATGTCTCAGCTGTGGGGGGTTCCCACTGAGGGCTCTGGGGCCTAAACCCCAGGCTGCGCTTCCCAGCCCAGAGTAACAACTGAGAAAAGTGCCCACATAACAACTGGCTGTGAAAAGCAGCCAGGTTTCTGTTTGCCAGGGAGAGGTGGCTGGAAATGCAGGCACCCTCTTAAAGAGCCAATGTGCAAAGTTTCGTGTGCAGCCACTCACCTTGGGCTCCAGCAGAGGGAGGCAGAGTGGACTGGAGCAGTGTGAGGAGAATCCAGGGTGGCTAGCTGGGGGAATAGATTTAAGAGGGCACCCATCTGGACTCCTGTGCTGGGTCATTCCCCCATACAGCAGAGCACATCTTTCTCAGGCAGACATTTACCTTCCAAGCAACTTTTGCCTGGGGAGGAGGGGGAGCAATTGCCCCGCCCTTCTGGAAAACCTCTGGCCCCAGCCTGTAGAGTTTCTACAGCCTGAGGGCTCCTTAAGAGACTGATAACAATCAGCCACCCCATCCTGTGGAGTTTCTATAGCTTAGGCTCATTAAGAGACTGAATAGCAGCCTCTGGGTGCTTTGAGTCTCCCTGATTTGCCTCTGGACCCAGGGCTTGGAAAAGCAGACCTTGGTGCATATCTTAGTCCTGTCCAAACACACCCAGCCACACCAGAGGAAACCAGAAGGTGTGAAGTGTGGAAAACATCAAACAGGGTGCTCAAGGCTCGTCACAAACAGTGTCTGACACTGGCCTGCACCAGAGACCATCCAAAAGACTGGGAGTCCTAGCAGATCAACCTAATACATAGAAAGGAATCCAAACAGTTAGCTAAAATGGGGAGACAAAAAAGCCCCAAATGTCCCAGGTCCTTTCAGGCTGCTGCCTGGTGCTGGGCTCAGAGGGAGCGCATCCGAGTGAGTCCATGCTCCAGCCCTTTACGAGGAGCTGCTGGGGCTCCTGCAGCCTCCCCGACCCTCAGGGACGGTCCCCGCTGGTTTTCACAGCCCGGAGTTGTGGGGACTTCTCTTCCCTGGAGCCCTGGGCTGGGACCCCTCACTCCTCCAGGAAACCCCCACCCCCGAGATCTCCCTCCGGTTTAACCCGCGGCACCGGGTGTGGGCCTGGGGCCGCGTCTCTGGGATTCAGCCCGGATCCGCCCGCGTCTCCGCCCCTCCTACCGGTGTCGGTGCTGCTTCAGCTCCCTGGCTGTGGGGCTTCTGTTTGGCCAGATTTCAGGAGGCCCTGAGTGACGGTGGTTCTGTATTTTAGTTGTAATTTTGATGTGGTTGCTGTGGGCGGCAGGTGCAGCTGTTGACCACGCCCTATCTTGTTCCTCCAGAACTAAATTTCTGAAACAGATCTGACTGTGTATCACTACCTCTTCAATACCATCTTCTCAACTTTAAAAAACTTTTGTTTTCTTTTGTCTCAAGAAGAAAGTCTCAAATACATGGAAGGCATTTAGCACCTTACCCTCTGGCCCTGGCCTTCCTTTCCAAAGCAGCTCTGCCTTAGCCCCCACAAGGTTGCTGCCCAGATAGGCCACGCAGGGTATGTTCCACTGGCTTGTGCCCTTCCTTCTGCCTAGAACTCCTGCTATAGGCCTCTTCTCGGCTTCACCTTGAACAAGCAGTTCTCCATGGGCAACTCTGAGTATCCTCTTACTCTTCCCAGGCTTGATTTTTTGAGCCCTGTCTTTTATATCTCTTTAGCATTTATCACATTATTAAAAGTAATGAATGTGTCTTTCTCTCCCACTAGCTTGTGAATTCCTTGAGAGCAGAGACCATAACTTACTCGTTGTATCACTAAAACCAGTAGGCACACAGTAAAAATACTTAAATAATGAATTGAGATTTGGTTTAATTTTGTTTTGATTTCAATGTGTTTTTATTATTCTAGGTTCTGGGCCTTGTTCAAAATATGAGCGTTTTCCAGTGTCCAAAATGTAAACACAAAACTCATATTTTTGGTGCTGATGGTGCAAGGAAACTAGCACAGATCCTTGACCTTGATATTCTAGGTAAGACCATAGACTATTCTTTGGCAGAGGAAATGATAGAAGGGAAAATAGAGATCAGGTGTGGTGATGAAGAGTGTCTCAGAAAATGATGAATTGCTTTTGGCTTTGTGTTTTGAATTAAGTTAGTATAGCGCAGTCCTATGCGCTAACCTTTCTTTGGCTTTTCATGATACTTCATTTGTGGAAGGCTTTTATAAAGGACGTTTGTTCTGCCAACTTTGATGCCTTCTGCTATCGATAAAAACTGCTTAGAACTTGAATTTGAGAAGAGAGTTTTGTGGTCTGAGTACTGTGATTGAAGCACACATTTTATATAATGGTCATCAGTTTGTTTGCTAAGTTGGGAACACATCTCTCAGTATAAATGGTGTGTATGAAAATATCTGTTTATTATGTTGCAACAACCTTTTGCAAGTGTTACTCACTTCTTGGTGCATATGAAAAAATGCCTTCCTGATCAGTTTTGAATTTATCAGTCCTTCTGCTCTAGAAAGACAATATTTTTTGGAATCTTTTTATATGTATTTGCCACCTGAAATTTACATTATATATACTGTGCATGTTATTGAATTGAAGGATTATTTAGTGTTTTGAGGAGAAATGAAATCATGTGTTAAGTAAGCAAAACAGAGATTTTGGATACAAGATGATTTTTTAAAAATCCACAAGCTACTCTAATGAATGTTTTAGGAAACATGTTTTGATATTCTGCTTATTGAATGAGTTTCTGTTCTGGGGAAGGCATATGCTAGATGCTGAGTAAGGGAGCCATAGAGTGAATTATGAGTGTTAGGTAGTTTACAATTAAGATCCCTTAGATCAAGGAATTTCAGAACATTATTATAATTACATTTCTAAAAGTTGGTGTTAAATGTATTATTGTTATTATGCATTTGTACTGTAGCAACCACCACAATACCAGGTGAATACTAATGATATATTTTGATGCATTGCTATAATTATATTCACTAATCATATTCTGCCACTGTTTTTCATTGAACTAACCTAAAAAGTTCATTTTCTTAAATCTGCATAATAACATAACAGATTGACATTCACTTATATAGTAAAATAGATGTGTAATTATAATGGCATTACTGAATCATGTTGATAATATTACAGTTCCCCAATTTATACATGGGTGGTACAGTTTTATAAGTCAGTGATTTAGAATTTGAAACATATCTCCTAGAGAAATAATCTCACATATGGAAGTTACTTTTTAACAAACAGCTCACAATTGTATAGTTACACTAAAAAGGTATCAGCAACACTGATTACTGAATAGTGTTATAGACTGCTGTATCTAACAGTGTATGGGGAAAATAATTTAGAGCTCCAATTCAGGGCACACCTTCTCCTCTTAATGCAGTCCTGGGAGCCCAGAGGTAGCTCCCATGAATTGGAGCAGGGGCTCCAATAATGAAGAGGTTGGAATTTGAAATTAGGAACTGAAATAAAACAAAGACCTCTCATAGCTATGGCCTCCTGACTGATTGAAGCCCACAGGTACCTTTATTTGTCTTTTACTAACTCTCTGGCTGCCTCCGTTTATTTCATCCATTGGGCTGTGTTTTAAATTTTGTAAAATGGCTTTTCAGAACTTTATCCATATTTATCTACAGGGACAGTTTATGCGTGGTAGGTAAGGTCTCAGGTCATCTCACAGAAATCCCTATAGCTTATGTCTCTGAAACATGCCCTCCTTTCCTACAGAGCTAGCCTTTCTCCACACCTTTACTCCTTTTTACCCTTCCCTGTACATAACTGTTAGCTTGTTACCACTCTCACTATATCTAACAAGGTTTTCCTCTGTTTTTGATCTACGCTTCTGTGCCTATGGTAGGATTGTGAATCTCTGGAGGGCAAAAATGATGTCAATAGGTGGCTGTATCAAGGAGGTCTTACTTTTATTTCTCCAGTTACTATAATGGCAGTTCATAAATCAAGAGAAAAAAAACTATGAGTTTCTAAGTATTTTCTATAACACATATGCCCTTGCCTGGTCCTGTGACAACTTCCTACAGTCTTAAGTTGGTCTGTACAGTAGACATAAAATTTACTAAAAAGATCATCTTTAAATGGTTACCTAAAAATTCATATATTTTTTGTCATTTAAAGACTTAAAGAGTTGGTTAAGATTCCAAATTTTGCTGGCAGGAGGAGCATAAAATATCTGTTCCTCCATGTACTTCCTAATATGAATTGTAGTAGGTTTATAATTTTGTAACATATGCTTCTGCATTATTTACATTGACTGGCATGGTGCTGAATGACTTCTTTATATAAAACACATGCACACACGTGTTTCAGTAACCTTTTCATGGATTTGGAGTGGTTCTAAGAATGCTGAGTACCATGACAATTCGGCTCTTCTACTTAAGACTCCGTTTACTGCCTTTTACATCTCAGCCTTTTGAAAGGCTTCATCTGTACTGGTGTGGTGGAAAGAGTCCATTGGATGGTGAATCAAAGCATTTTCCCCCTATATTACACTACCTAATAGTAATATATTGTCAGGAAAGACACCCATCCTCCCAGACTTCAAGTCTGCAAGTTGGAGAGTCTCATTATATACGTCCTGAGATCTCATCAAACTCACAAGTTATAATGCTATGAAGATTAATATATAATAAAAGTAATCCTATCTGATAAAGAGGTAGAGTTGAGATAACAGGTCTGGCCTACTTTTCAGTAGTTCTTTTAGCTTACTAATCAACCAACATCAGGAAGATTATACTGTGCTTTTTTTTAAAACTACTTTGCCTTCCCATCTTCTCCTCTTCAATTTCCTCATTATGTGATTTGATGTGTCTATATCAGGTATTACAGGTAAAAATAATTTACAAATGTCTTCCAATCCATTTGCTGGAAGATCTCCAGCAAAAAATAAATCAAAGACCTTATCCCATGAGGGGATGCCACATAGTTTTCATATAATATATAAATCACTGTACTACCCTCAAATGGAGTATTTTGCTCCTGATTTTCATTTGAAATTCCTTTTTCAGAGATTTTGCAATTTTAGGATAGTTATAACTCAAGTTGATTTGAATCAGTTTAGTTTAGATTTTATTTCTTTCTGAAGTTCAAGTAGTGAAATTCCAAGTAGCAATATAAACTTTTGTAGGTCTAATGGTTATCTGGATATCTCTTTTAGGAGACATCCCCTTACATCTTAACATAAGGGAAGCTGCAGATACAGGCCAGCCAATTGTATTTTCACAGCCTGAAAGCGATGAGGTAAGTGATATTTTAAAATATGTATTTTAATTTCTTTTTACAGGATATATATTTTTTTGATATGTAAAAAGAAGGTTGGAAGATCAAGTTTATTTGCAATGTGTATATTAACTTATTCAAAGCATTTTAAGTTACTCTTTTATATGGTAGTCGTACCAGTGCTGGCTCTGAATTATCAGCTGAACAAGTTCACCTACAAAGAGTCATCACCTAACCAGTTTTCTCATGAAGAACATGAACAATGAGAGTTTGCAGAGTTCTTATCTTGCTGGCTATCAGTATCTAACCACCCGAGGTTATTACATTTCAAGCATCTGAAGTCAGCTGATTGTAGGGAGAAGGAAACCTAATGTAAAAGAAACATTGAGTTAGATATAGGGAAACTGTATAAACCATTAGAGATGGAATTTTAATTGCATTTATTTTAATAAATATGACTGGGGAGGTGAGGTGGAAAAACTAGTAGTGTTTCATTAGGGATACAGTTGATAAATTTTCAAGTTACTGAAGCTTTACAATTTTAAGCCTCAAATATTTTTATTTTACTCTTTTTAAAAATTGAAATAAAATCAATCATATTTATCTCTTTTTCCTAAGTAGCACTTGCTATTAAAGTTAGAAACTGAGCCATCATCTGGTACATCAGTTTTGATAATAGTTTTTGTGCTCATTTGCTGAACAGTCCCAATCTTCTAATAGTTTCTCTCTTATTTTTTTTTAGGTAATGAGTATAACTTTATAGTACAGTTATTTTGTTTTTGTTCTTTTTTAAAATTATAGTTGACATACAATATTATATTAGTTTCAAGTGTACAATGTGGTGATTCAACATCTATATGCCATGTGGAGCTATCACCACATTAATTCTAGAAACATTTAGTCACCATACAAAGTTATTACGATATTATTGACTGTGTTCCCTGTGCTGTACATTACAGCCCGTGACTTATTTATTTTATAACTAGAAATTTCTACTACTTAATCCCCTTCACCTTTCTGTTCATCCCCTACTCCTCTCCCCTCTGGTATTTGTCCATTTGTTCTCTGCATCTGAGTCTGTTTCTGTTTTATTTTGCTTGTTTGTTTTGGCCTTTAGATTCCACACATAACTGAAATCATATGGTGTTTGTCTTTCTCTGTCTGACTTATTTCACTTAGCTAATACCCTCTAGGTCCATTCATGTTTTCACAAATGGCGAGATTTCATTCTTTTTATGGCTGAATAATAATAATCCTGTGTGTGTGTGTGTGTGTGTGTGTGTATCACATCTTTATCCATTCGTCTCTCAGTGGACACCTAGGTTGCTTCCGTATCTTGGCTATTGTAAATAAAGCTGCAATGAACATAAGGGTGCATATATCATTTCAAATTAGGGTTTTCACTTTCTTCAGGTAAATGCCCAGAGTGGAATTTTTGGTTTCTAAGGTAGTTCTATTTTTAATTTTTGGGGGAATCTTCATTCTGTTTTTCATAGTGGCTGCACCAATTTACAATTTCACCAATAGTTTATGAGGGTTCCCTTTTCTCCAAATCCTTGCAACACTTGTTATTTGTTGTCTTTTTGATAATAGCCATCTGACAGGAGATGTGAGGTGATGCCTCAATATGGTTTTGATTTGTAGTTCCCTGATGTTAGTGATGTTGAGCAACTTCTCATGTATCTGTTAGCCATCTGTATGTCTTCTTTGGAGAAATGTCTATTCAGGTCTTCTGCTGATTTTTAAATTGGATTGTTTATTTTTTTGATACTGAGTTGTATGAGTTCTTTATGTATTTTAGATATTAACCCCTTATCAGATATATAATTTGTAAATATCTCTAATTTGGTAGGTTTCCTTTTCATTTTGTTTATGATTTCCTTTGCTCTGCAAAAGCTTTTTAGCTTGATGTAGTCCTATTTGTTTATTTTTGCTTTTATTGTTCATGCCTAAGGAGACATATCCAAAAAATATTCTAAGGCATATGTCAAAGAGTTTACTGCTTACGTTTTCTTCTAGGAGTTTTATAGTTTCAAGTCTTACATTTAAGTCTTTAATCCATTTTGAGCTTATTTTTGTATATGGTGTAAGAAAGCAGTTTAGTTTCATTTTTTTGCATGTATCTGTCCAGTTTTCCCATCACCATTTATTGAAGTGACTATCTTTTCCCCATTGTATATTTTTGCCCTCTCTGTCATAGATTAACTGACCATGTGAGTATGGGTTTATTCCGTTTCATTGATCTATGTGCCTCCTTTTGTGTCAGTACCATACTGTTTTGATTACTATAGTTTTATAAGTATAGTTTGAAATCAGGGAGTGTAATACCTCCAACTTTGTTCTTTCTCAAGATTATTTTGGCTATTTGGGGTCTTTTGTGATTCTATATAAAGTACTGTTATTTTGTTCATCCATAGCTACTACCCCTTTCATTCTAGTTTGCTTCCTCTAATCCTGTGTGAACTGCAAAGTAAAAGAGCCAAGCTTGGTTAGAGTTGTGAATAAAGTAAGAGTAAATCGACAGTCAGGAGTCTAGGATAATTAAAGTAGATTTATTGTGAGTTATCCTTTTTGGGGGGCCCAGAGCTCCTTTCCCTTTCTTAAGGGTCAGTAGTTACGGTGCAGGTGATTGAGCTGCTGGGAATATGCTCTCGGAGTAAACACAGTGTAGCAGTTATCATTTTTCTTTTCTCTTTTAGGTGATAAATATTAAATTTCCTTTTCAGTCTTTACTTAGAAATCTTTCATATAAACAAAACCCATACCCTTTATTTCCTTCATAATTAGTCTGGCAATCCCAACTACCATAGGTGTGCTTTACTTTATGCAGTGAATGAAAAGTTGTATGAAAATCGAGGGTTTTTAAAAATTGTACTTTTAAATGCCTCCAGAGAACAAACTATTTAAAGATATTCTTTGGTGATTATGATGAATAAAATTAATTACTTACTAGTGCATTTTAATTGAGTTTAAATTTTTAAATATTTTTCCACCTGTCCATTTTTACTTTTTTTCTTTGAGATTTTCCAAAAGCAAGAAACATTGCAAGGAAGTTACAGGAATATAATATAACAAGGACTATATAACAGCCATCAGAAGGTAACATGATTTAAAATTCTAAACAACAGTGTTTGTGGAGTTTTTTATAGTTACATATATATATATAATCCTTACCCAAGGATATGTTTATTGATATTAGATAGAGGAAGGAGAGAGAGAGAAACATTGATGTGAGAGAGAAACATAGATTGGCTGCTTTCCATATGCGCCCCGACGGGACCAAACTCACAACCTGGGTATGTGCCGTGATTGGGAATCGAACCCACGGCCTTTCGGTGTACTGGACGATGCTGCAACCAACTGAATCTCATTTGCATAAACATTAGACCTTTTATTTTACTATTGTTGGGTGACATCTGTGGGAATGTGAACAGCCTAACGTTTTGTAGTTAAAGCAAGATTTGATTTGGGGAGGTGTGCTATAAGAGATCCCTGGTAAAGACTTTCAGATATAAGTGGAAACTTTATCATCTTATAATTTCTTAATTATTACCTCATAGTCTTAATATGAAATGACTGTGTAAGATAAATTAAAACTTCAAATCTTCAAAATAAAAGACAAAAGACCAAAGCTCTTTATAAAACTTCTTGTACTTTGGTTGCCATTCATTTCCTTTTACTTGTTAATGGCAGAGCAGACAAGTAAGACCCAGCTATATTATCTCCTCCTCAAGGTGGCCCAATCAGAGATCTTGGATAGGTGAGAAGGGTTAGTCTATGTAGAGTTGAGTCAATGAAAAAGAGTATTAATAGTTTGAGAAATCTAAACCATATTTTTTTATATATGATGTGTATGTGTGTGCTTTCTGCTAGTTATGGATTAAACAAAAGGAAAGGATTTATTTTACTTATTCCCTGGTTAGGAAAAGTGCCCGAAAGAACATATTAATATGAGTCCTTCAATGAGATTGTAAATTACCTGAGGACAGAATTGTAATAATAACAGTCACTAGTATTTATTATTTGCTTCTTCTGTGCCAATAGTTCACGTACTTTATTCTTATTAATACTCCCCAAAATCCTTTGAGGTAGATACTGTTGTTGTAACCATTTTACAGATGTGGAAACTGAGTCTAAAAGAGTTAAGTAACTTGCCCAAGGTCTCAGAACTAGTAAGTGATAGAGCTAAGATTTTAAACCATGCCTGTCTGACCGAAAGGCCCCAGCTCTTCACCAGTGAGCTCTTCTACGTCCCTTTTATATCGTTACATCCCACAGATTTCCCCAATCAATGCCTTACACACACACAGTAAAACCAAAAAAGTATTTGTTGAAATAATACTGCACTGGCCGAAAAAATTCAATCTCAACAGTTTTGTAGCAATTGAAACTGTTAGAAACTAAGCACTTTTAGTGGTTTCTCAGCAAATGATAATCTAACCATTACTTTAAGTGTCATATGTTGAAAGTTTAAGCTTGGAGATAGTCCATTAAAAAGCAAAGGTTAAATGTGGCAAATTTGATTACCCTGGAGTCATTCAGTATTTTGTGTCATCTGGTAGGTATGTCTCTCATTTAACATAAGTATGAATAAAATATTATAGAATGATGACCTTGTCTCAGCTTGCCTTAGTGAACTTTAAATTTTCATCAGAAAATATTAGGCTTCAATAACTAGAATAGATACTAGGAGATTAAAAAGATGTTCATAAAGATGCGCAGCTGAAAATCAGCATATTAGATTTAAGAGAAATATTTCTTTATAAAGTCCATGTTATTTCTGCTTTTAAACAAAAACTATTGTTTCTGTTAACTATAGCAGGAATTGAAACCATTTTAGATGAAGCATTACAATTATAATTACTTGTGTCTTGACTTACTGTTGCATATGTGATGTGGTAGAAGGAGCTGGGCTTTGGAGGCAGGCGGACCCAGATTTGAATGTTCCCAGCCTACTGACTCTGTGACCGTGAGCAAACAGCTTCCAGTTTCTTCATCCAAGTTGAGCCCATGATCATGTTACATAAGTGGGATTACTTATGTGAAGTACTTGGTGTAGTAGGTACTCAGTAAAAAAAAAAAAGGTCCTTATTCATGCGTGGAGAGCTATTCTTTTTAAATGGACTAAAATAAAACTTTAACACTTTTCTGGAAAAATAAAGCATAATTCAGATGTTAGGGTTCAAGCATGTTTTTTTTTTTTAATGAAGAAATGTGATACACACTTAAAGCAGCAAATCAAGTCAGGGTAACAGACCTCAAACAGTCCCCTTCCCGGGCAGGCCAGGAAGTTGGGCAGCTCATCTTGCACTAGCTGTGAAGCTTTTGACAAGTCTTCACCTTTTTGGGTTTTGGTTTCCTCGTCTATAAATTGGGGGTAATGACAGAATTTACCATGTAGGGTAGCTGTAAGTATAAATGAAATAATACTAGGCAAATAGGATGTGCTTGAGTTTTAGCTACTGTTAACAGTAGTAGTTGTGGTAGCAGTAGCATATACTCAAACCTAAGTATATAAATGTATAAGTTAATAGTTTTAGGAAGTCTTACTATTGTGTCTTACAGTTACTTTTATAGATAAAGTAGGAGAAATAAGTACATTAAAAAAAAAACGACTTCTTAAAACACAAATGTCACGACCATTGTTCTGACTGGCCTGTGAGCACTGGGTTAGCTGGTGGCCCCCGCGGGGGCCTGTCACTGCATGGGGACTGCCAGAGAGGAGGAGCCTCCCAGTGACCCACGGTCCCCAAAACACCAGGCGAGGAAGCGTCCAGGTGCTTGGTGCTGTCTTAGATGCCGTTCTCAGAGAGAATAAAGAAAATGCATTCCAATAACAGACTATAAGGTGGTAAATAATAGTCCTCTTTAAAGTGACTAACAGCTCTTATGTCACAGAATTTTTGGCAGTACCCAACTCAGGATATTAATTTGTCAGAAGAGGAAGGCATAATTTCTTGCAGGTAGACTAGGTTGCTAGTTTGCTAACATGGGAATTAGAGTTGAAAAAACAGTAATTGCTGGTACTAAATATTTTTTTCAGAAAGTCACCTTCTAAATAGTTGCCTCCAAAATTCTTTTTCCCTGCCCCACCTGCCATGTACACAGCAGTATCTCCTCACTCTTGAATTTCTTCCACTCAGCCTTTTTGCTACTAAATTCAGTGGACAACTGTGGCAAACAGCTCATGAGTCTGTTGATGTGGAGTGTGGGACACATGTGTCTGTTCTTTTGCAGGCCAGAGCTTACCTGAGGATTGCTGCAGAAGTGGTCAGAAGGTTGCCGCCACCTCCGCAGTGACTCCCGAGTCACTGGAAACACCTGCTGCATGACAAGACCTGGGAATCAGCAGTGTGGTGGCAACACCACAGAAATAATAGCAATCCGAGTTGTTTTCTTGTATTTTTAAGGAAATCATGTCTTATTTTCAGGTTTATTTGCTAAGCAATGACTCACAAATAAAGTTTTTAAGTATCATTGCTAACTGCTACATTTAGGAATTTTTTGAAAGCTGGTGTGTACCAACTGCACAGAACTGCATTTTATTTTATTGAACTGCCCCTTGAAGAATCGTGAGTTTGTCTAACAAGCCAAGCCTTCAGTTCAGGAGAGAACTGCGCTCTTTCTGCAGGACTGAAGAGCTAGTCATTTAAAGGATTTACTAAATTTGCCGAAGGACTCAGTATGACGCCCCCATCAGGCAGTTTGGTCTGGGTTTGAATCCTGCCTCTAATACTATATTGAACACATTCCTAATATAGATTAAACCTCTACTTCTTCACCTGACCAGATTCCACCCAGACTTCATGAATCTGAATTTCCAGGGATGGGGCCTGGACATGTGCTTTTTAAACAAGATCCTAATAATTTTGATGAATCTTGTGATGGCAAAATAGCAATAAGAGCTAACATTTATCAAGTGTTTTCTTGTGTCCTTATGGCTCATTTTCCTTCCGTATGAGTGGGGTACTGTTGCTATCTCCATTTTACAGACGAGGAAGCTGAAGTGTGGGAAAGTTGAATGGCTCACTGCGGGCTACTGTTTTAGGAAGGGATGGAGCTGGGTTCTAAACGCGGGCACTTGGATACTGGATCCTCCTTTTGTACAAGAGGCATTTGTTTATTCAAAAGAGGAATATAGATAATACTTTCAACAGTAAAGATAAATTTAAAAAAGAGGAACATAGTATTCAGCATTTCCTCAAACTCACTTGACCATGGAACCCAATCCCCACCCCACCTTTTAGAAGGAGTTCATTTTCATGGAGTTCATTTTTCAAAGACTATACTTTGAGAAGCATGTATCTTGTGTAGCTGAGACTCAGAGAGAGAGTCAGGGGCTTCCCAGGTTCAGGTAGCAAGACAGTTGTAAAACTGCTGGTACATGTCATTCTAAACATGTTTTCATGCACTTTTATTCACATAAAAGACTGCACGTGGTTGTTTATAGCAGCTTTATTTGTAATAGCCAAACCAGTGCAGAGCTTTTCAGTGGGTGAGAGGTTAAAAAAAACAGGGATATCCATACCGTGGAATACTACCCAGCAATAAAAAAGAACAGCCATGGAAGCATGCTACAGCCTGGACAAATTCCAGAGAAGTACACCAAATGAAAAAGCTAATCCCAAAGGTTACATATAATATGATTCCATTTATATAATACTCTTGAAATTACAAAATTGTTGAAATGGAGAACAGATTAGTGGTTTCCAGGGCTTAAGGAGGGCGGGAGGGATTGTGTGTGTCTAAAAGGGCAGCAAGGGATCCTTGTGATGAGGGGCATATCCTGTGTCGTGTCTGGATCGGTGTCAGTCTCATGGTTGTGATACTGTTCTGCAGTTTTGCAGGAGGAGGGAATTGGGTAAAGGGCACACTGGAATCTCTTTGTATTCCTTTTTAAAACTTCACGTGAATCAACAGTTATTTCATAATAAAAATAGAAGTTTAATTAAAAAGACAAACATGTGCTGCTGTGTTTGAACTGAATGTCCTGGTACAAATTATCCCTGCTAATGAAAATCACGAGTGGACACACAGCAATCATCATTCGTCACTCTGAGAGGGAAATAATCACTTTAAGTTGTAGATATTTATTTATGTTTTTATTGTCTTTTGTGGGGAGGCCAATATAGAGCACTTCTTAAAAAAAAAAAAAAGCAAGTATTTGACCAAGCTTAACTTTACCTAAAAAAAAGAATGATTTAAATAAGCTTCAGAGGTTCTTAAAGTTGTGAGTCATGATTTAATCTGATGGAGAAGGGGAAAGATAGTCTTTACTCGTAAATACATGACTTAGAGAAGATCCACCTATATAATCACCCTCCTTCACTGACCCCTGCAGATGCTTCCAGAAAAGCCACGGAAACAGTGGTGCGTGGAGTATGTAAGAGTTCAGAAGCGGAGGAGGGACCAGGTGCTGTAAGAGCAAGAGAAACTTACCCTAAAACTTTGCCCACGGCAGCCTTGCTAAGCTTCCGAGAGCTGGCCTCAAAGGCAGACTGTGAAGCCGAGCTCATAGGCCTGCGGTTAGGGGTAACGTTTAGTTCTGAGTCTTCACATTTCCACAGAGTGTAGAGATTCCCACGTCACTCTCCAGGAGGGAAAGGCAAGCTCCCCAACTCCCTCCGTCAGGAAAGGAGGAGTGACATCTTTTGGGTAAATTTCGTCCCGTCTGCATTTCTTTGATTTCAGCCAAATGCTGAGCTTCCCGAGGCAAGCTCCAGGGAAACCTGAAGATGCTCACCTCTGCCTCAGACTTGGTGGGCAAGCCCATCTAATTTAGGGGTAGGGTGTTTGGTAACCCACTGTGGTCACATATCCTCTAGTCCAGCTATTTATCAATAATAAAGCCATTTTTTAACTTTTATCTGAATTCTGTGTGTCTCAGTTCCAAACGGGAAGAATCCCCCCTAACCACACTCTGTGAAAACACAAAATACCCTTCTAGAATCCTATAAAGTTAAAGCCAAAGAGCGTATTAGCGTTCCGTATATTTGAAGCACCCATAGTAAAAAATAAGTTTACCAATGACCAGAAGATATTTGGGGGTGTGGGGATATGGAGGGAGGTTATTATGAAGTACACTACATACACAGTAAAGCACAGAAGACACCTAGACAGGTCAACTAATTCTGTACAGCGTGAGCGCCCGCGTAGCCACCAGCCAGGGCGAGGAGTGGAGCCTGCCGGCCTCCCGGAGCCCGTGTTCTTCACTCACCGTCTCCTCCCCTCACAGAGTCACCCACATACTGATGTTTTAGCCTAAGCCTGTGCCCTTAAACAGTATAATTTTGCCTATTTTTTGAAATTAATATTAAACAGAATTACACAGTATTTTGCTCCATATTAATTGCTTTTATTTTACTCCATACTGACTGCTTTTGTTCTGTAATATGTTTCTGAGATCCGTGTCTGTTGTTGCATGTAGCCGTGATTTGTTCATGTTCTTTGCGCCAGAATGTTCCATTGTTTGCATATACAGCTTATCCGTTCCACTGGAGATGGAAATTCAGATTGATTTCAGTGTTTTGCTATTGCAAATAATGCTGCTCTGAACATTCTTGTACATATTTTCTTGGTGTTCATGTACTGAGTGCCCTGTTGAGTTATTTCTGGGAGTGAACCGACTGGGAGCTGCTTAGTGCTGTCGCATTGTGGTTTTAACTTGCACCTCCTGATTACAAATGAATCGAGCACCTTTACTTACATGTATTGGTTAACTAGATATCCTCTTTTGTTTAGTACCAAGTCAGATTTTTTGCCCATTTTTCTATTGTGTTGGTAGAAAATATATATTTTTTTATATTTTTGCTATGAATCTTGTCACTTCTGTGTGTTGCAGATATCTTTTCCACTGTGTAACTTGCCTTTCACTGTCTTAATAGTGTCTTTTGATAAACAAAGGATCTTAGTTTTAATGTACGCCAATTTAGCACTTTTTTATGGTGATTGATTTTTGTGCAGTGTCCCAAAGCATGAAGATAATTGTCCTAAATTAACTTCTAGAAGTTATAGAATTGTTTTTCCTTCTATACTTAGTCCTACAATCGACCTAGAATCTAACTAGAATTGTTTTCTAGTTATTAGGCGAAGTAGGCTTTAAGTTTCTTTTTTTTGTTCTTGGGATACCTAATTATCCCAGTACCTCTGGGACTATTTTTCCCTCCCCCCTGCTGCAGTTCCACCCTGGTTGCAAATTAAATGCCTGTTTCCATGGGTCTGTTTCTGAGCTTTCTGTTCTGTCCCCTTGGTTTACTTGTCTGTCTGCAACAGTAACTTGCTGCCTTATCTATCACCACCTTGTTCTTCAAGGATGTTTTGGCAATTCTTGTGTTTTGGGGTTTGTTTTTTTTTGCATTTCTATATAAGTTTTAAGGTTAGCCTGTGAAGTTCCAAGACAACAACAAACTATTGGAGAGTTTCCATTTTTCTTAGGGTGAAGAAGACTGGAGAGAGTATCAGACCCACTCTTACAACAAGAAGAAACTATGTGATCTACAAAATTATAACTTTTCTTAAACTGATCAGAGAACCTAAGTTACAGTGCAACCAAGTAGCCAGAAATGTAAGGACAGGTAGACCCCTCCAAGGAGAGACAGGATGCGAGTGTTTCCTTGCCTTTGGCAGAACATGGAAGAAATTGGTGTCAGGCTCCCTACAAACAGGTAACAAAAATTCAGTGAAAGTTTTTAACAAATTGCTAAAAGCTGAGTGTGGGATAACAGGGGGCATCTAGAACCCCCAATGCTGCTAACAGAAGGGAGTTTGCACCCACTCGTAGGCCTTTCTCTGTGGACCTCATGGGGTGCCTAAGAGAATAACTGAGCATGGGGTAGGGCACTTGGAAAAAGCCTTCCTTAGTGGTAGAGGCCTGAAGGAGGAGAGCAGCTGCCTCTGTGAGAAAAACACAAAGCCCTGCCTTACCCTCCTTCCCTGTGGGACAAATACCATAAGTCCCTGGGAAGGGTAGCAAACCTTGTCCTCAGATGAAGTCTCATTTGACTGAGGAAGAGGAAATAGAAAAACCCTTTATTCCTGAGGGAGGAACAGGAAGCCATCCTGGCCCCAGGCCATTAAAGATATCCTATGTTGGGGCGGGTGAGGGCTGGGACCACTGAGAAAGCCCCTTCACCTTGTTGGGACACAGGGCTTGCCTAACGCTGAGGCTGGACCAGGACAACAGAGCCCCCCCGCCCCACAGCAAGGTAGCAGGCACTCTGCATCAAACACCAGCAGCCTACTGCTGGCCGAGGGGGCAAGGATGTCAGTAGAGAAGGTCAGAACCTAAGGGTGGAATGGGAACCAAGAAAAATATCGTTTGGCCACCCATCCTTCCACTTAAGTGCAAGGTAATACTAGAGGAATCTGAAGCCAGTAAAGCATGAAGGTAACCATAACAATAATAAAACCTAACCAAGATCAACTCCTGACCAATTTGACTGAAGCCTGCACGTTAAGGTTCTAGAAAAAAAGAGGCAAACCCATATTTAGCCATAAATGCTATTTACCTCAGTTTCTACTACCCTACTCATGATACCCAGTATTTAGTTAAAAAATTATAGGACATAAGAGGCAAGAAAAATCAACTCCTTATCAAGAGACAAAGCATTCAAGAGAACCAGACAGGATGACTCAGATGTTGGTACTGTCAAGAACGGAACTTAAAATGGCTATAATTAATATGTCAGAAGGCCTAATGGAGAAGGTGGACCACATCTTCCTCAGATGAGGAACTTCACACAGAGACAGAAACCGTAAGAACAAGTAAAATAGGAATGCTAGAAATTTAAAATCACAGTAACAGATGAAGAATGCTTTTTGGCTCATCAGTAAATGACACAGATGAAGAAAGAATTGATGAGCGTGAAGACAGGTAAACAGGAACTACCCAGATGAAGCACAAAGAGAATAAAGAGTTTCTCTCTCTCACACACACACACACACACACACACACACACACACACACACACGGGGACATTTCATAAAGAGAAGAGAGAGACCATTGGGACAGACAGAGAGATAACTGCTAAGAAGTCTCTAAATAACATATTAAACCAGAGAATTCACAAGACTCAGAAAGCCCCAAGCAGGATTTCTAAAACCTAGATATATCATACTAAAACCAAGGAAAACAAAAATGAGAAAATCTTGAAGTCAGTAAGTGAAAAAAATCACATTAAATACTGACAACAAAAATAAGAATATGACTTAAATACAGACCTACTGTATGACTTATATACAGACCCACTGTGTGTAAGTCATAAGACAATTGAGGAACATATTTTAAGATGATGAAATTAAAAAACAAAACGCAATCCAGAGTTCTATACCAGTGAAAATAATATTTAAAATGGAAAATCTTTTTCAGACCGAAGCTGAGAGAATTAATAGTAGACTGTACTACAGTATACTATAGGAACTTACTCAGGCAGGAGGAATACAATAATACCAGACAGAAACAAGCAAATGAAGATCTCTGAAAAGAATTCAAATAAAAATAAACTATCTTATTTTTTATCATTCTAAAAGACAATTATTTAAATACAAAGTGATAGCAATATATTGTGGATTTTTAGTATATATAAAAGTAAAATATATGACAGCAACACAAAAGATGGGGATATATGGTGAGTACACTATTGTAAGTTTCTTACGCTATACTAGAAATAATATAATATTATTTGAAAGAAGGTTGTGATTAATTAAAGCCAAACGTAAATTTAAAACAACTAACATTTTTAAAATGAGGTTAATAATAAGCAAGTTGTAGAGATACAATGGAATCATAAATACTTAGTCCAAAGCAAGCAGAAATAGAGGTATAAAAGGAACAAAGAACAGAACAAATAGAAAAGAGCTAGTAAGATGGCAGACTTTAATCCAAGCATCGGTAATTACAGTGAATGTAAATGTTCAAAACATACTAATTAAAAGATTGTCAAAGTGGGTAAAAAAGTAAGACCCAATTATATACTATCTAAAAGAAATCCACTTTAAGAATAAAGACACAAGTTAAAAGTAAAAGAAAAGATGCCTGGCCAGAGTGGCTCAGTGGTTGAGCATCGACCTATGAACCAGGAGGTCAGGGTTCGATTCCCAGTCAGGGCACATGCCCAGGTTGCCAGCTCGATCTCCAGTGGGTGGCGCGCAGGAGGCAGCTGGTCAATGACTCTCTCATCAATGTTTCTATCTCTCTCCCTCTCCCTTCCTCTCTGAAATCAATAAAAACATATTTAAAAAATAAAATAAAAGTAAAAGAAAAGATA